CACGCCTTCCCCCCCCCACTGGTCCCTCCCCACCCAGTCCCGCTGCTTATGTAAAAAAACTGGACACGTTTGTGCTTAAGATCTGGGATAATACCGGATAACGGCGTATTAAGCTATCAAATAACCAATATAATTACTAGGTGACAGGCCGAGAAGAGGCTCTTGACAAGATAAAACTTAAAAATAAATAAGAGGTGGGACTGGAGGAAGGAAGCGGAGGCTCAGATTATTTTTGCCTTGAGCCCAAACATGGTGCCGCCCATGGATAAATCCCTTTCACTCCCCCATCTCTGGGATTTCTTGTTAAATCACTGCAGGAGCGCTGGGCGCATCGCATTCCTTCATGCGTCCCTTTTCGCATGGCGTTTTACCGAGGGCCCCCACTTTTGGCAGGCAGCCCTCCCCTCCCACGAAGCCTCGGCCAGATCTCCTTCCATGGTCGGGGAATATTGCTAGACCCGTTTTCATCTGACATTTGCATCCGACCCCTGCAAAAGTTTGGAGACGTGGACGTTGCAAAGGCTTGGATGGGTGGGTGTTTTCAGAAGACCAATGTTGAGTTTCGCCTTGAAATGCAAAGCGGTGGCGTTTTTCTCCCCCTGCGTTGCGTCTCTCCTTTGCAAGCTTTCCCACTTAGCTTGAACCGTCCCCTGCCTTCCGAATCCTCGACGGGGCCGGCTTGGATTCAGAAATGGGCCAAGGCTACACGGTGGCCTGGAATAACCGCGCATGAACGTGGCAAGCAGGCTGGCGTTGGGACTCTGACCCTTGTGCCCATGAAACCAGTTTCCCTCCCTCTCTGGCAGCCCAGATAAAAGGCCCAAGGAAGCGTCTGCAACCCAATTGTGCCTTTATCTAAATCCCCCAATAAGTCACTCTAAATCCCGCGGACGGACGGCACAGACTCCCTCTCCTGCAGCAGCCAAAGAGAGCCAAAGGTGTTACATCGTTAAACCTTTTTATTGTTAATTAGGAGAGGCTCTGCCACATTCGGTGGGTTGGAGGAGTCACACGGGGGCCGAGTGGGAGGGGGGGAAGCTGGTTGGTTCAGTGGCAAAAGATTCCAGAAAAATGGAGCCACCAAAAAAATATAAATGGGGATTTCTCCTTCTTTCTCTTGAGACAACACAAGGATTTTTTTTTCGGTCCGATCGCCTGAAAAGGAGGTGGAGAAGAGAGAGAGAGAGAAGCAATAGAAAATGGTTAAATTCCAGCTTTCCCTGGGTGCTAATTGAAGACATTTTACAGACCCACAGCTATTGTTGAAGCAGCTCCGCTTTCTGGTAGGAGGGAAAGCCAAGGGCCTGGCTTGGTTTCTTAGCCGGTCACGACAATGGAGTCCCCTAAGGACCGTCACACAAGGGAAGGTGAAAACTGTGGAACTCACTGCCACAAGACGCACCCTTCGCTGCCCATTCAGATGGCCTAAAAAGTGACCCTGGGCCGGTCCTTTGCTCAGGGTGGTCTACCTCACAGGGGTGTCCCTGTCTGAGGATAACATGGCGAAATCTATGGCCACTGCCTTTCCTTAGAAGGAAACGTGGGACGTGCAAGGGGCATGGGGCCGATCGAGGGAGGCCCTGGCCCCCTGCCTCTGCACATGGGTGTGTGTGTGTATGTGTGTTTCTGCAGGGGCTCACCTCTACACCGACTCCTCCATGCATTGATCTGTTGAGAAAAAGAAATAAAAGGGGTCAGGAAGGGTGGAGGGGGCCCCTCCGAAAACATCTGAAGATGCAGTCCAGCCAAGGAGCCCCTTTGTCCTGCTCTGGCGCAAAGGCACTCAAAGGCCATCCAGACCACCCCGCCCACCCTGCCCTTCTATAGCCTTCCTCGATCATGTTCAGAGATACATGGCCGAGCAGACTCTTGGCCTGAGATTATGGGATGTGCTGGAGATGGCCTTTGACTCCTCGGATGCTGCGGTCCGACCCTGAACACTCCACCCCTGCAGTGTGGGACGCTCTGGCTCCCCTCGCCTTGTCTTCCTCCCCCCCATCCCTCCCTCCCTCCTTCTTGCCTCTTACCAGTCCTGGGCAAGACGAGGATTTGGTCTCGCGTCAGGCCCTGATCCAAGGCCAGCTGGGTAAACTTCTCCACCAGCTCAGGCCTCACCTGCTTGCTTCTGCCTGCAGCCGGGAAAGCAAAAGGCTGTGGCATGAGGAAGGAGAGGCAGGCGACGAAGGATCCTGCCCCACGGACGGAGACCGGGCACCGGGTGGGGATGCCACCCCCTTCTCCCCAGTCCTCGGCCACCCAGGCGGGCAGCGCAGCAACCACTGGACAATGGGGGGGAGCCGTGGGGAGAAGGACTGCCCCCTGCCAGAGTCCCCCAACTTACCATAGAGGGTGACCATCATGAAGGTCTCCCCACCTTTGACCTTCTGGCCGGACAGCAAGGCGTACTCGTCGTAATTCGTCTCCACCACTCGTATGTCGCTGGTGGTTGCTGAGCCTGGAACGGGGAGCGAAGAGTGATGGGTCCCGAAAAGACCTCTAGGAACGGCCTTGCTCGACTACAACACCCACCATCGTTCTCCCTGGATCCTGCTGAATGGGGGACGTTGGCTCTGGAACGGCTATTCCCCAGCTGGCCAGGGCCGGAGAGGGCCGCCTCCCGTTTGGAAAGAGACCGAAGGAGGATCGAGGCCGGAAAGGAGTCATTGATCCACCCAGCGGGGGCCAGACTCTCTTCCCCCCCAGACCCCAAACCTTGCTGGACGTCCCAGTAGATCACTTACGAGGGCTGCTGTAGGTGAAGCGTCCCGGCTGGTCTGTCGGGACGAACACGCTGTTTCGCGTCTCACACTGGTCGTGCCTAAAGGCGGAGCGGACGGCAGGGGGAGAAGAGACAAATCAATGGGGCAGCATGACAGCAGGGAGTCAGGCCCACAACACGCATGGCCAGGGAGGGACGGGGTGGGGGTTTCCCGTCCCAAAACAAGGGGGTAAGAAAACGTGTCCCCCCCCCACTCACCACCCATCACAGCCTCCTTACTTGGGGTAGGTGGAGGTCACGTCCAGGCCCCCGCCGGCCACGGGCGTCACCACCGTGGTGCACATTTTCATGGTTTGCTTCTTGTCCTGGAACCACTGGGAGTTGGAGGCCAGCCCGATGCTGTACCAGCGCCCCACGAACTGCCCCCACCCAGAGAAAGAAAGAGGAAGGGAGGGGGAAAAAACTCATCGATCAGAGGCTTCTGGGGCAAGTGGACTACAACTCCCATCCCCCACCAGCCATGGCCACGAGATTTGGAGATGGACGACACGCACACACCTCAAATGCAATAACTCCCTCGAAAAGAAACACAGGATTTCATCATCTAAAGCCAGTTTGCCCCAACCTGGAATCTTCCTGATGTGTTTAACTATAATGCCCATCATCCCCCCCACAACCTAGTACCACTACTGGCAGAAAAGCCCCCAACGATCAACGCCCAGACAATGGCGAGGAACACTGCAGCGTTATCCGGATTGGGTCTGCGGTCTTGCTTTTAATCTTAGGAGGGTTCTGCATAACAACTCAGGTTTAGCAAAGTATTTCTGTGCTGGCGGCTGAGGTCTTGCAAAGGGCTCTTTTTTCTTTTCTTTTACGCCCAGTGGGTTCCGCGAGGGTTCTGATCCGGGAATGGTGCTCTCTTGCTAGGCTGAAGCACGGCCGCTTACTAAAACCCTGCGCGTTCCCTAGCCAAAGCCCACTCCACTCAAGACAGCATGAAAAATCGGCCCGATTACCTGCTCTTGCTGGAAGTCAGGCTGGATGGGCACCTCGGCCCCCGCCACGACCTGGCAGGCCACAGCCACGGCCAGAAAGCTGCAGACGTTAGCCCACATGCCGGCGGCTGCTTTTGCTTGCTCGGAAGGCGCCTCTTTGGGGACAAAGATCTGACCAGCAGAAGGGAGCAACTCTGAGCCGGCCGGCTGGCCGGCTGGCTATTTATGGGCCCTCTCCGGGTGGGAGCCTGCTAGCCAGCGCCCGCCCTTCCTCTCCCCCGTGGCTGGCTTACGCAAGAGACAAAGAATTGGGGGGGGGGAGAGTGAAAAACAGGGCAACAGCAGCAGCCCTGGGGGGCTGACCCCCACCTGGATCAAAGCGCCTTTCCCGGCAGAGGCCCTGGCACCGAGCTGGAAATCCTGCCAGCCGAGCACCACTTTCCAATTAACTGAGCAACAGCTGGCGCTGGGAGTCCCTAGGCTCGGAATCGGACAGCGTGCAGAAGATTCTCCTCTCTGGGCCCCTTCCAAATGCCAGCGCTGTCCTTCCCTTCTGTTTACCCACTTTTAAGCAAGCAAAGGGCTTTGTTTGGGGAAAGGCTGACCCAGACCTGGCGGGGAGGGACCTTTAGCCTTTCCCAGCCAGCTCCTCTCCCTACGCCTCCCCCTCTTGCGGCCACTGCCTTTTGGGGGAAGGACACAAAGTGACCGCCGGAGAGGTGACGCCTTCGGACTCCTGACCACCAGGGCATGCAGCTGGCCAGCCGCCTCTGGGCATCCCCGTTTAGAGATCCTGCCCCGCTGCGTGGCTCCAACATCTGTCGCTCTCAGATAGACTGCCTCCCGACGCAGAGGCTCGGCGGACCTTGTGGTCGGAAGCACAGAAGATGGAAACAAGAGGGAGGCTCTGGCCAAGTCAGGACCCCAATGGTGGATCCCTTAGTCCATTATAGGATCTCCCCCCCCTTTCTACCCCCTACCCTGTTTTAGAGTCAATGTAGTCTTACTCAAGAGAACCTCCCTTTCAGAGCCAGACGTGGGTCAAACCCGTTAGGATGATGCTGGAGGCAGGGAGGAAAAGGCCACGGGAACATAATTTTCCATGAGGGCCTCTTGACTGCCAGCGGGTGCTCTTCTGTAATCCCCCCCCCCGCCTTCCCCTTCGCTCAGAATTTTAATAGCTGTTCTCCTCTTTGCCAAAATCAAGATTTATGTAAGCGTGGTTGTTTGCTTTAAGCTTTTCTCTCCCCCTTCTCTCCAAGGCAGGGAGCCAGAGCAGAGCCAACGGCCCAGCGAGGACCCCTCCGTCCCACGGCTTTCTTGCAAAAAAAAGGGGAGGGGGAAAATACTGGCCAGTGCAAATTCTCCCCCTGCCAGACACACTCCACCTGCTGGATTTCTACCTTCCCTCTCTCTTTCGAATGGCTTTTCTATAGCAAAAAACAGGGAGCAGGCGGGAGTGAAACGGGGCAGTTTTCCCTTCCCGGCTTCACAGGCGTCCCGGCGCTGTTTCCCCCTGCCGAACAGCTGCCTGTCTTGATCTGGAAACTGACCAAAGGCTTGCACAACGGACCGTCATTCAACCGATGCATCTCCTACTGAGGGAGGAGGGTTTTTTATTTTTTATTTTCCAAGCCGAAGCCTGTGTTGACCCTTTTCCACTTTGAACAAAAGGAATCCAGGGCCCTGGGGAAAGCAGGTGATGTGTCAGCCCACCGAGGGGGTTTGTTTTCGGACGGATTCTGGCTCAGCACTGCACAGGCAGGGAAGCGGGCTGAGCAAGGGGGGGGCCCCCGAACATGCCTTTCCAGAAGTAAACAAGTGCACACCATCGGAGTGGAAAAGCATGAGGTTGCTGGCCTTTCCGGGGCTGCAGAGAAGCTCCCAGAAACCGGGGGGGGTGGCGGCATGGGGGGGATCAGCTGTATTTTCACTGCATCTGCTCCCCCCCCCCTTTCCAGGTCTCTAAAGATCCCAGAACTTTCCAATTCCCTCAAACGATAGCCAAACAGACAGCATCTGACCGGTGGTGCGCAGGGTTTATCCCGGTGAGAAAACGAGAGGAGAGAGAGGGGTGATTTTTTTTCCTTTATAAAGGGGAAGGGGCTCCAGTGTAGGGATGCATCCTGTCCCGGCATGGGCCTGATCCGGCACAGGCTTGCTCTCTTTCTTTCCACGTGTGGATCTGTGGCTGTTAGCGTATCCCCGTGTACTTGGTTTCTGGAAAACAGAAAGGAGGGTTCAGGGAGTCCTGGGGATGATGGGAACGGCCACCTCGCAACCCCGGCTCCTCATCCTTTCTGAGTCAACAGAAGGATGCAAATCTTTTCATCCTGTGAAGTGATTCAGAAACAGGGAAACGCTTCCCACTTCTTGGACTACAAGCCCCAGAATCCCCTAGCCACCAGAAGTTGCTTTCTCTAAGCAGTAGTGCGCCATGGAGGAACACACACACACACACACACACACACACACACACACACACGCACGCACACACGCACACACGCACACGATTTCTCTTGGCAAGACCCAAATCCTAGACCCAGGGAGGAGGTAAAAACATGCAAACAGAAAATTCCACTCGTCACCTGCCATTCGTTTTGCGCCCGGCACAGTTTTAAATCCACTCTTTGTTGATCGCATGAAAGGGCAAGAATTTAATAGTGTGTGGGCGGGAGGGGGCGGGAGGATCAGCTGATTATACTAAAATCTGTCCTAGGGCTGACTCTGGCCTCCTTTCCAAAGTTTGGAAAAGTCAAGTGTTTGGAGACTACAGTGCCCAGCATCCACAGGGGCCATTGTGGGCCGGCTAGGGGATTCTGGGAGTGGTACTCCACCGTCACCTCTCCCAGCATTTGCTCCTTTCGCCCGGGGGGGCTTTGAGTCTATTCTCAAATAGCATCAAGTGCTAGAATTAACGCTGAAATTTGAAATAACTTTGGCCTCTCCGTGTTTAACTCACCATCAAGGATGTGGTATTCGTCAACAGAGTCGCAGAATCCTGCAGAAAAGGGCCAGAATCGAAGGAAAGGATGGTTGGCAGTCCGGGAGGGGGGGCTCCTTGGCCCTCCTCCTCAAAAGAGGGCAGCCCTCTCCACCGCCACCACAAAGGGATTTCCCATATTGCAGCAAAAAAATGTCAGGGGTCCGAGCCTCCAGTGGCAGAGAGTTCCACCGTCACCAAAGAGCTAAGACAGACAGGTGCCTCCCTTAAATCTCCCCCGAGGAATCCGTAGGGAACAAGAACCACACACCCCATGAGACCCCCCACCCCCGGGTCGGGGGTCGCTAGAAAGAGGGCCCGCCACTCACCGTAAACAGGGAAGTAAAACACCTGGTTCAGATCCAGGCCGACGCTGGCCATGCGCTCCTCAAACTTTGCCGTGACGGCGTCGCCAACCTTGATGGATCGTCCTTTCGGAAGAGTAAACAGACATTTAAAGAGTTGCGATGGATCCCTGTTGTCCTGGCGTTCCAAGATAGACTGTACCTACTGGGGGAGGTTTTATTCAGGAAACACAGACATCCTAGCCTCTGAGCGGCTTTGTACCCTCTAGAAATGTTCCCAACCTCTCCTAGGAAGCCAGCCTAACCCCAGCTCAGATGGGTCACAGACTACCAGTCCCATCATCCACACCAGCAGCCCAGTACGACGCTAGAGAGGAGAAAGGCTGCTCTAAGCCAACAGCCGCCTGGCCCGTCCGGTGGCGGTGAGTGCCTTAGGCTTAGCCACAGGCTCACATACAGGGGCGGAAGAAGAAGGCTTGGACCCGGGGCCCCACCGCAGCCTCACCGTAAAGCTTGGCCGAAATCTTCCCAGCCTTCTGGTAGTACACGATGGCGTAGCTGTTGTAATCCGTCTCTGCCACAACCACGTCCACATTCCTGCCACGGCCTGGGGAGGGCAGAGCGTGTGTAACAGGAAGGATCCTTTCCAGCCCTCTTGGGGGGGGGAGGCAACTGGGAGCCCTGAAGGTCTGTCTCCTCCTTGAAGTACCCTTTAGAATAGGATTTCCACCCTCCACCCCCCCCCAAAAAACCCCATTCCTCTCGTCCCCCAAAAGCGCACCTCGCACTTGGAACCGGCCGGCTGTCTTGGTGGGAAAGTAGGTCTGTCTGATGTTCCAGCAGTGGCCGTCCCTGAAGGGCAAGACCAGGAGAAGAGGAAAACAGTTCGAAACCAGCTCCCCAGGGGCCTGCTGGTTCGGGTTCAGCACCTGCCCGGCTCAAAGTAAAACCCGGAGTGGATTCTCCACCCTGCTGACCTGGGAGCCGGTGGCCTCCCTTCGGTTACTCACAAGGGGCGGAAAATGCTGAACAGCAAAGGTTTCTCCGGAGTTTCGGCATCCGCCACGGTCACCATCACGTTTGTGGCTTCCAGGCGGTAATGATTCTGGCTTAAGTAGCTGCAGCGCGAGGCCACTCCAACCAGGAACCATTTCCCAGCAAACTAGAGGAGGAGAGAGGAGGAGAGCTGGGTTCAAATATCCCCTTACCCAAGCGTGTGCTGCAACAAAGGGTGGTTGGAAGGTTTCCCGCCCACGAGTGTTTGTGAGCATTCCGTGACCTCACAATCTCCCAAGCAGTAAACAGGAGGTCACCCCTTTAAATGTGTGGGGATGGGGAGTGATGGTGCAGCAAAATGCAGGGTGTGCGTTCTAAACCTGATCCTCACCCGATTGGGATCAAAGTTGCTCTGGATTCCGATACTGTCGATGGGGTTCTTCGGGGCCGGCGGCTTCTTACGGCGGCGCTGGGCATTGCCGGGAGAAGAGAGGAGCAAACCACAGATGAAGAGAAACACAGCCGGCGTCATGGTCGGATCCTGATGGCACAGTAACTGTCCGCTTCGAGGCTGGCTGGTTAGTTATTAATCCGAACGCTTCCCCCCAAAGATTAGAGGCGGCAGGACAAAGGTCTCCTCAAACACATTTCCTGGCGCATTCCGATCAGCCCTTGGGGGAAAAAATGTTCATGGAATCCCCCAGGAAAGCAGAAGAGAAAAAAATGTATTTGTTGGAGTCATTTCAAACCTATTTAAGCTATTCACTGTCTTGTTATTCCAGATGCTGACACGTTCTGTGGTATCTAGTGGGAGGGAGTTCCATAGATTCAGCATCATGGAAGCAGATACCTCCTTAAGGCAACCAAGCTTCGTCTACTTGACAGACTGTCCCTGAACATGGAGGCTCTCCTTAGCTATGACAACTAAATTACAAACACAAATGACAAGTAAACCGCCTCTCCATGGCCTTCTAGATGGACTACAATTCCCATCACGGAACCCAGCAGTGGGGAACATGGGTACTTTCGGGAGCAGAGGGAAAAAATAGGAAAACCGAGGCGCTCCCTCTGGTGGCCGAATCGAGCATCTGAACGGAGCGAAAGAGACGGCTGCTGCGCCGGCGCAAAGAGAGAACCATCAAGTGAGGGTCTAGAGCGGCCAACCACCATAGAGAGGAAGGAATGAAGAACCGGCTCCAAGAGGGCCGAGGCGGAAGTGCAGGAGGCGACGGAAGTGACGGAGAGAGCAGCTGGGTAAGGTCTCCTGGAGGGGCTG